AGGCACTCAGTTTCCTCATCTGTGAAACGGAGTCGGACTGGACAATCTCTAAGATTTCCTCTGGTTCTAAACCTATGATCATCACCATCACCAAGCTCACTGTGATCCTTTCTAAACTTTGTTTGATCAAGAATTCTCCCCATCCGTGTTGTGATAGGTTTCTCCTTCCTCATTCCTCTAATTTGTTTATGATGTGATTTTTTTCATATCTAGGTCATGTATTCATTTGGAGTTTATTTTATGGTGTGAATGTATGATCCAAATCTAATTTCTGTCATGCTACTTTCCAGTAGCTTTTGTCAAATAGTCCTTACTCTAATAGTTAGGGTCTTAGGATTTATCAAACACTATGTTACTATATTTGTTTTGTTTTGTTGCTTCTATGTGTACCTATAATGTGTTCCACTGTTCCACTTTTCTATTTTTTAACCAGTATTGGCTTACACTTTGTAGTATTTTTGTTCATTCTTTCTGTTTGAAGTTCTTGACTTTTTGGTTTCTCTAGATGAATTTTGTTATTATTTTTCTAAGTCTATAAAGAAATACTTTGGTAGTTTGATTTGTATGGTACCGAATAAATAAATACATTTATGTAATATTGTAATTTTTATTATATTGGCAGAGCTTCTTTGCCTCAGTTTCCTCATCTGTAAAATGAGCTGGAGAAGGTTGGCAAACCACTCGAGTATCTTTGCAAAAAAAAAAAAAAAACCAAACAACCTAAAAAGGGGTCACAGTGAGAATCAGACGTAACTGAAAACAACTGAACAACAACACAAATAGCCCAAATATGAACAATTAAGATCTCTCCAATTATTTAGTTCTTTAAAGATTGCTTTAAAGATTCTTTCATAGTTGTATTTGCATAGTTTATATAAAGACCTTGGTAGGTGGAATCCCAAATTATTCTATATTCAGTTCTTATTGTTAATGGAGTTTCTCTTTCTATCTCTTCCTGCTGGATTTTGTTGGTAACATAAAAGAAAGTTAATGATTTATATGGGTTTATTTTATATACTATTTTGCTAGAGCTAAAAACCCTCTTATATTATTTGAAAAAAAATAATGGTTTACTCTTCACCTATACTTGCTCTCTGTTTCTTTTTCTTGTCTTATTGCTATAATATTGTATCATTTACATTTCTAATACTATATCAGATAGTTTGAAAGTGAATGTGACTGTTTTACCTCTGATCTTATTGGGAAAGACATTAACATTTCTCCATTACATAAAATGCTGATTCTTGGCGTTAGGTAGATACTAATCACCATATTAAAAAAAAGAAGTTCGTTTATTCTTAAGGAAAAATCTATTTATGCCTTTTATTGTTTTTAAGAGAAATAGATGTTGTATTTTGTCAAAAAGCTTTTTCTAAATCTATGTACAAAATAATGTGATTTTTGTTGTTTTTATAGTTAACATGATCTATTATGTTTATAATTTTCCTAATATGGGATCATTTCTGGATTCCTGGTAAAATCCAACTTGGTCACAGTGCACCATCTTTTTAATATATTATTATAGTTTCTTTGCCAATATGTTTTTTAAAAAATATTTTTGTGTCAATATTCTTTAAGACTATTGGTCTAGGGGCAGCTAGGTGATGCAGTGGATAGAGCACCAGCCCTGGATTCAGGAGGACCTGAGTTCAAATCCGGCCTCAGACACAAAACACTTACTAGCTGTGTGACCCTGGGCAAGTCACTTAATCCCATTGCCTATCCCCCCCCCAAAAAAAAAGACTATTTGTCTACAGATTTTATTCTCAGCTTTGTCTTCCCCTAGTTTAGCTATGAAGATTCTATTTGTATATAGCAGAAATTGGGTAGGATATTTCCCCCCTACTTTTTCAAATAGTTTATATACTTATAGCACATGATCTGTAACCACTATCCCAGTTTCCATTTGCACTGACAAATTGGGCCTTTCATATATGGTTACTATCTCCCCTTGTGGTTCTAGGGGTAGTTTTGAGGGATCGAGAGTTATCTTTCTAATTCTCTAGCTCATGAGCCCCCACTAGTGTTCTTCCTACCATAATTACCAGTTGCAATCATTGAGTCATCCAGTCTTAATTAGCTTTAGAAGTGGCCATTTACTAAGGTGGTATAATAAAGTTCAAAACATCCCCCTAAAAGCCTGTGACATGCTCTTCCACAAGTATATACAGAGTTTAGGGGAAAGTGGCATAAGCTTAGGGAGCACATGTGGGAGAAGGGTAATCCGTAGCTCCTGGAAGTCCTTTTGCTAGAATTCTCAAGATGTTCCCCTTATGTATAATGTCGTTTTTCTTTTGGGCTCTTTGTAGAGCCTTGAATCTGCATCCAATCTAACCTTAGTTCCCAATTCAGATACTGCTATCAGCTATTATGGGCACACTTCTAGAACACTGATCCTTCAAAGTTCATAATGTCTTCCTTCAACCATGGAAGGGAGAGAAGGAGATCTAGGCTAAGGCCAAGGATCTCCCCACTGTCAAGCAATTCCTCTCCATTGCTGGATATTTGAATCTCAGATTCCAGCTAGCTTCCTGGTTTTACAGAGGTCCCACCAGGCGTTACCAAGTCCTTCAGCCAATTTGAGCAGACTTTCAGTTATGCCTAGGGAGGTGTCCAGGGCCTGTTCACATCTAAAAAGATATGTTCTGGCTTGATAAATGTATTAAGGTGAGGTCATTGAGAAGTGTTCTTACCTGATAAAAGTATCAGGGCTAAGTCCAGTAGGGTGATTTTAGTCCCATCTTTACATATTATTGGAATTAATTGTTCTTTAAATATTTGGCAAAATTCACTTATAAAGCTATCTGGTTCTGGGTTCTTTTTTTTTTCTTTAGGATTTCATTTGTAGCTTATTCAATTTCCTTTTTCTGGGTTATTTAAATTCTTTATTTCTTATTCTGTTAATGTAGACATTTTACATTTCTGTAAATATTCACTCATTTCATCTAAGATAGCAATTTTGTTTACAAACAATTGAGTAAAATGGTTTCTAATAATTTACTTTATTCCTTTTTAATTTATTATGAATTCTTTACTTTCATTTTTGGTATTGATAATTTGGTCTTCTCTCCCTTAAATCAGACTAACTAATGACTTATTTATTTTATTAGTTTAAAAAACTCACAGTTTTATTAATCAATTCAATGATTTTAATTTCAATTTCATTGATAACTTCTTCAATTAGTTATTGTTGTTGAGTTGTTTCAGTTGTATCTGATTCTTGGTGACCCCATTTGTAGTTTTCTTGGAAAAGAAACTGGAGTGGTTTGCCATTTTCTTCTCCAGCTCATTTTACAGATGAAAAACTGAGGCAAACAGAGTTAAATGATTTACCCAGGGTCACACAGCTAGTAAGTATTTGAGACTGGATTTGAAATCAGATCCCTTGACTCTAGGGCTGGCACTCTATCTATTGCACTACTTAGCTGCCCCACTCTTCAATTTTACATTTTTAAAATTTTGGCATTTAGTTGGGGTTTTTGGATTTGTTGGATTTTTTCTAGTCTTTCTAGTTGCATAAATAATTTACTGGTCTATTCTTTTTCTCTCTCTTTTTTTTCCAGAAAGGATTTAAAGATATCATTTCCCCTAAGCATTGCCTTGTCTGAATCCCATATATTGTCTTATTGTTGTTATTTTCTTTGATGAAATTGTCAATTTCCATGATTTTGTCTTCCATTTAAGTTTGGATCCTTTCTTCGAAGGTTCTTAATTGATTATAACTTTCATTGCATTGTGGTCAGTAAGGGACATGTTTAACATTCCTATTTTTCTGCATTTTTTCATGAGGTCCTCATGTCCTAGTACATGGTCATTTTTGTAAAGATGCCATAGAACATATATATTCCTTTCACATTCAATAACTATCAATCTTACAATAATCAATGTTACAATAAATATCACAACTAACTTTCCTAAAATTCTATTCAGGTCATTAATTTCATTCTTGCTTGTCTTTTTGTTTGCTTTGTCTAGGTCTGAATGGGGTACATTAAGGCTCCTGACTATTATATTGTTTTTCTGTCCATTTCTCCCTGTTATTCAGTTAACTTTTCCTTTAAGTACTTAGATACTTTGCCAGTAGGTTCATATATATTGTTATCATTCTACTGTCTACTGTCATCAAAGATAGATTGTTCCAATTATATATTGCTGGAGTCTACCACACTTCTCTTTCACAACTGCCATCTTCTTTGTAAAGAGGGGAAAGAAGGGGCAAATAGAAAAAAAGTACAAAAGGATAGGATGGAGAGAAATATCAAAAATTAACAATCATAACTGAATGTGAATGAGAGCAACTAATCATAGGATCATTCATTTAGAGATGTAAATGACCTTAGAAGCCATCAAATCCAACTACCCCATTTTACATATGAGGAAACTGAGTCAAAATAGAGGGTAAGGATTTTCCTAGCATCAAATGGCAAGTGTCTGAGACAGGATTTGAATCCAGTTCTGACTCCAAGTCCAGTGCCCTGTCCAGAACGTATCAGAAAGCAGAATTCAACCAGTTGTTGTTAAGAAACACACTTGAAAGATAAAGATTTATATAGCATTAAAATAAGAAACTAAAGCAGAATTTATTATGTGTATTTACAAAGAAGATGGCACTATTGACTATTTGTAAAGTACCTAGCACAGTACCTGGCACATAGTAGGCACTTTATAAATGCTAGCTATTATGATGATGATGATCATCATCATCATCAAATTAATTTTTTTAACCTGAGGTTATTCATCACTGTTAAATTTTGTCTTATTAGATGTGACTATCATTCCTGCCTGCCAAAATTTGAGAGACAGAGACAGAGACAGACAGACAGAGACAGACAGAGAGAGAGAGAGACAGAGAGAGAGAGACAGAGAGAGAGACAGAGAGAGAGAGAGAGACAGAGAGAGAGATGGCATCTGTCCTCCAGGGCAATTTGAGTTGGAAAACAACCACTCCCCTTAGGAAGTCCCTAGTTTGAAGAGAAGACAAGGATCCTTAGACAATCCGGTATGTGGGGGGAAGAGAAAAATTTTTATTGTCCCTTCTCTGTGCCAGAACAGGGTTGGGCAGTAGGTTTCATCTCAACACTGCTGCCTCTTCTCACAGATCCAGTTGTCATTGAGGTTGTTACAGGATGCATCATTCCATCGACCCGAGTAAAGCATCATGATGCAGTTCTCATTCCTTCTTGAATCATTGGGCTCCCCTTCATTCCAGTAGCTGTATGGGTGGAAGCAGGAGGTCCCATAACCATGATAACAAAAGATGCCTTGTTCCAGACTCACACCAAGCCAAAAGCCAGTGGTGTCCTGGAGTTCTAGTAAATAACATAGAACACCTGCTGGTGCTTTCAGACTTGGGGACCTTACACATTTGGGAGGGAATGATAGAAAGGGATAAGCAAAAAGTCATCTCTCCTTCTCATCCTCAATTCCCAAGGGATGTCTGAAAAGCCCCACAGAGTTTCTGTCTCTGTGTCTGTCTCTGTGTCTCTCTCTGTCTCTCTGTCTCTCTCTGTGTTTCTGTCTCTGTCTGTCTGTCTGTCTGTCTCTCTCTCTCTCTCTCTCTTCTTCTTGGGAAGGGAACTCAATGCTCTGACATAATGTCCAACCTGAGCAGCCATCCTCTCTTCAATATTCTTAAAAAGAGTCATCTAATCTTTGCTTAAAGACCTGCAGGGCTGGGATTCTCACTACAGATAGGCCCTAATTCATGAAAATAAAGAATCCCTGAAATGGGCACACATTCAAATTCCTATGGCATATTTCCATCAGGCTGGAACCAATAACCATATTTTACATAATTGTAACTGTCAAATAATGTTCTAATATAATCAATCACTTCACGGATTCATTATTCATACTAATTGGGACCTAGCTGTTTCTCAGCCCTTTTACTTTGGGAGAGCTCTCATCGTTAGGAAGTTTTCTCTTAAACTAAAACTTGCCCCCTTTCTACCTTCAATCCTAGTTCTGTTCTTTGGGGCTAAGCAGAAAAAAAGTCCAACCTCTCTTCCATATGACAGCTCTTTGAATACTTGAAGCTGGCTCTCTTGACCCTCCCCTTGCCCTAGTTCTTATGCTTTCTAGTTCCTTCACCATCAGAAAATCACTGAATCTCAAAGTTGGATGGGACCTTAGAGACCATGGAGGAGAGCTATCATTAGGCATTCACTGCTTCTCTTTCTGTACAAACTCACAAACTACCCCTTCAATAATGTAGGCTAGAATCTTGCTGGGAGTCAGTCAAGTACACTAGCCCATAATTTACAGGCTCCACCTCCCTCTCCAGTCCTAAGGCAATTCTCCCAATCGTCATTATTTTGGAAAAGGCCATAGTGTTGTAGAATAAAACTTGGAAGAAACCTTAGAGATAATCTGAGCTGATCCTTTTTCCTTAACAATGATAAAGTCTAGAAAAAGGAAGGGAGTGAGGGGCAGAGCTCAAATTCAAACTCGGGTCATCTGACTCTAAATTCACATCTATGCAGGTCACTGCTAGCAGCTCAACAAGCGCTGATCATTCTTTTGGTGCCTGAGAAGGTCATTTCTTTAGACCGGACAACTTGAATAAACTATCTTATATTCTAGGGCCCTCCCAGCTCTGATATTTTGTGTTCTATGGACCGTCCCAGCTCTGACATTTTGTGTTCTAAGGCACCTCCTACCTCTGACATTGTATTTTAAGGGCCCTTCCAGTTTTGACATCCAGTGTTTTAAGGTCCCTCCTAGTTCTGATATTCTATGCCCTAAGGTCCTTCCTAGCTCCAGTGTCCCATGCTTTATGTTCTAAGATCTCATTTAGCTCATCATTCTGGGTTCTCAAGTCCTTATCCATGCTGACATACCATATGATATGCTCTAAGGGCCCTCCCAGCTCTTCTTTTCGATGATCTATGCTCTAAGGTAACTCAAGCTCTGATATTCTGACTTGTATTTTAAGGGTCCTCCAACTTGGATTTTTTATATTTGATTTTCTAAATAAGAGCCTTTCAATCTTGGACATTCTTTGGCCTATCTAATGGGGCTTCAGATTCAGAAAGCACTTGTACCTGAGCAAGTGCCTTGAGAGCTTCGACCTGTGTCCCAGGGGAAGACATTTACCTGAAAGTGAGTTTGGTACCATCGATCCACATGTACCCATTAACCTTTCCTCTGGAACGAGTTGCTGTGAGTCCAATCCAGTAACCCAAGCCTTTGGTGTTCTGGGTCAGGAAGGTCTTAGCAAGGAGTAAAAGTTGTCAGTGGAATTATGATCCCCACCCTTCCCAGGACCTATATCTCCCCCATTCACACTGGTGGCTACTCTAGGGGACACGTCTCCCCATTGGATAAGGAACTATCTGGGGCAGGGGGCAATCCTTCCTCACCTCCTCAGATTGGGAGCTGAGAGGGCAGGTATCATCCTTTTCCCCTTAAACCAAGGACATCCTGCCCACCCAGGGCAGAGGCTTCCCCACACGCCATGTCTCCTCCCCAGACCATAGGCTCCCCTGGGGTCCATGTTTTCCCTCTCTGACTGGCCTTGGGGGGGTCTCCCCACACACTTGTTGCTCCCCAGGCTTCTACCTGTTCCTCGAGGTTGTTCACAATAACCAGGTGTGCCTGCACCTGGGCACAGTTCTGTTGTGACTGGTCCCAGTGAGCTTTGGTGGTGGAGAAGAAGTAGCAAGAACCCTCAAAGGCCAGCCAGGAATCAGGGCATGGGGAGCAGGAGCCTGGGAATGGTGCTTAGAGTTTGCTCTGGGCACAGGACAGACCACCTCTCTATTCTGGCCTGAGAAAAGGGTCTCTCTTCCTATGCTGTAACCCAGCATCCATCCCCTGAGGATAAAGTCAAGGAGGGATGCTAGATGATGACTCTTGAGCTACCATGAACCCTTTGTCTTTGGCCAGTTCCCTGGAGCCCACACTAAACCTTGCTGCTAAGCCAGTCTCTGTAAGTCTAGGACCCTAGCAGGGTCCTGAGCATGCTAAGAGATCAGTGCTCAGGATGGAAAGGTACCACCCAATGGGACAGTCATGGGAGGTGGGGGGGGTAGAGGGGTACAGGGTGCAGGTTGCAACCCTGTCCTTGGACCCATGAGAAACAACTATCTGAGCAAGTAGTGGACAGCTAAGCCTAAGGCCAGGCCACTTTGAGGGCCTCTGGCTCTTGTTTTCTCTACTCTAGCTTCCCTCAGACTGAGCCACTCCAACCCACCACCAAGTGTCTCTCTGAGTGAATCAACTCACTGTTCCCACTTCTCACAGCAGCCACAGCCCGGAACATCTCACTGCGAATGTCTTGTCGGTCCTTCCCAGCCTCTGCCAGTGCCTGAGTCACTGGCAAAGCAGAGGGAAAAGAGGGGGAGTGTGTCCAGCAGAGTGAGTATGGGTATGTCTGGTGGCAATGTCAAGGTATTTGGAGAGCCCTATGGTGGGTTTTTGGGAGGGCTGATTCTGAGAACAGCCAGTGAGGTTGTTAGGAAAGGGTCAGGGTGAGTTATTATGGGAATAGTTGGCAGGATCAGTGTTAGATTGTCCAAGAGGGTTGGTATAGGGACAAAGAGCAGGGTCAATGTGGGAAGTTCTGGCAGGGATGGATATAACAATGTCAAAAGAGTAGGGCAGGCGCTAGGGGATAACCTTGGCTTTGAGGGGTGGCTGAGGCTTCTGTTTCCATGGGGAAGACTTACTCTTGGTGCTGAATTCATTGTGTTCACTTTCCAGCTTGAGCAGTTGGCCGTGGGATTCACTCACTTTATTCTCCCAGTTCCCCAAGGCAGTCCACAAGGCAGAGCCTAGGCGTAGGGACAGGAGAGGGATCTGGGACAAGGCGAGTCAGAGTTCTCTCCCTCCATGTTCCCAGCTCTCTCTTGCTCAGCACCTCCCCAATCAGTGCTTCTTAGCTCCCACCCTCAACCCTCTCTGTTCCTTCTCACCATTTCTCCTGGCAACGGCTACATCCTCTCTTAGCTCCCCCACATCCTTCGTCCAGATAGAAGCTGGAAAGAGCCCCGGTAGTTCCTCAGTCCCACGGATTCATGGAATTGTACCCCACCCAAAAGTGGTTTGGCGCCATTTGGACCAGGTTGCCCCAGGCTTCCAGCCCCACCTACCATTGGTTCTCACTTCCTCTTCTAGCTGATTCAGCTCCTGGGAAGTCTTTGAGCCTAGGGACACATACGTGCACAAATACACACAAAGACATGCATTCACACATGCCCACTCGTACAGGATCCCCACTGGTGACTTACAGAGGTCAGTGGGGGCTGGGAAAGGAGCAGGGGAAGGAAGGCAGATAATCAGGAGGAGTGAGCTGGTGAGACCAAGAAGAAGGAAAGGGGACCTGGAAAGGGGAGCAAAGCTCTAAAGGTCTCTAGAACCCTGTGCTGAAGCCCCTTCCTCACCCCTCCCCACACCCCAAACTCTGTGGAGGCCACATAATATCTCTCCTCCCTCCCTCTGGTCCCCTCACCCTTGACCAGCACCACAATGAGGAGAATCCACAGAAGTAGAATCACAGCTAGCATCAAGGAGACAGATTTCGAGGGCAGATCTCTGGGAAACAGTTTCCTCCAATAGCCTGAGAGAAACCAGGAAATGAGGACCCTGGAGAAGCCCTGACAGGAATACTGAGGCACAAGCCTGGCCCAACCAGAGGAGGCCCGAGGCCACCTGGGTCCCATCCCTGGACTAGGTAGAGAGGGGGTGGGAATGCCTTCATCTTAGAGGTGAGGGGATAGGCTGGCAAGTGGGACAGCATTTGGTGGTAACCTTAATCTTGGTTCTCTTTCCCTGTAGGGCCCTGGGCCACTCCTATGGGGGTTCTAGAGCAGTATAAATCAAAAGAAAAAGGAGAAGCTGGGCCCCTAAGAGCACAAGTGACTCTTAACATCCTGCTTCCCAATCCCATAAGGCCCTTGGTGAGAGTGGGGACCCTTGCCTCATACCTGTGCCACATGAGCTCCCAACTTGCTGGGACTTGTCCAAATCAGGATGGTCATGGTCTTCCCATTTTTGATAGCTTGAGGTGTTCATGGTGAGGATGTAGGCTGGGTCACCCAAAGGGAAGAAATGAGCCCGTCTGGTACAGTCCTCACAAGTGTCACATTTATTAGGCCCTCCCTTCCTTTTCAGATTCTGGGTGTGAAGTCAGCAAGAGAGGAAACTCTGGCCACCTCCTCTTCCATTCTTCTCTTCCTTTCCCATCCAGCCCCTACCGTGGAATGACACATTAAGGACCACACATTCTGAGACAGAAGACCCCTTGCCTTCCCCCCGGGGACCAGATCTAGATGCACGATTTGGCTACATCCACCTCCAATACCTCTCAGTCTCTGTCGAGGTTCCCCTTTCCCTCATTTCTACAGGGTCATAAGATCATAGACTTGGAGCCAGAAGGGACCTTAGAGGTTTAACCTCCTCCCAGCCCCTCGCTTTATAGAGGAGGAAACGGAGAAACCCAGAAAAGTGCAGATACTTGTCCAAAGCCATGCAGTTAGTCAGTGGTAAAGCTGGGGTTGAGTCCCAGGTCTTCCGACTTCCAATCAGATATGTGTTGCTTTCCATCCAGCCCCTCCGTGGTCCTCTCTTGCCTTGGCTGTGTCACGGAGCCTCCTTCCCCAGAGGAAGCAGCTCTGGTGTCCAGTTCCTTTCTGGTCAAGCGTTGACGCTCTTGGCACCACATCTTTGACTTCCTCCCTCCCTTCTCTTGCCAATAATCTGCACGGGTCAAAGACCATAAACTCACAGCTGGAAGGAACGTCAGAAGTCCTCAGCTTGCTTTCTTTTCTTGTCTAAATTGCTATGCTACATTTCATAAACTGTGGATCATATGTTGAGTTGCCAGCAGGTGCTTCAGCAGGGGAATTCAATGATGGGTCAAGTATACAGTTGCTCAAGTGTATGCACACACACATAAACATATGTTGGACTCCATTTCAATTCAATCAATCAATAAACATTCATTAAGCGCCAGGCTAAGCAGTAAGAATACAAGAAGAGGCAAAAGACAGTCCCTGCCCTCAAGGAGCTTACAATCTAATGGGGGAGACAACATGCAAACAAATACACACAAAGCAAGCTATATATAGGTTATATATGAAGGGCCCTTCTGGCTCAGCCATCCATTAACCAGGAGGGTAAAAAGACTGGAAATCAAGCCACATGAGGATTAAAATTGGACTATATTTGGCCTGGGGAGAGAAAACTTGACAGGGACATGATAGCTGTCAGTGTATTTTGAGGGCTCTCATAGGAAAGAGAGATTAAACTTGTTCTATTTTTTTTTTCTGGAGAACGAAACTAGGAGCAGTTGGGGGTGGGGATGGATGATTGGGGGAATGATACAGAAAGAGACTTGGGTTTCATACAATGTAAATCTTCCTACTAGTCAATCCGTAGGTATTTGTTAAGCAACTACTATATTCCAGTCACTGTGAAGAGCTATTTCTAACAGTTGGAGCTCTCCAAAAGTGGAATGGAGACAGTTAGTTCTCTCTCATGAGCAGTCTTCAAGCAGAGCCTGGCTGCCCATTTGTTATTAGGGATAGGATAGGAAAGATTTCTGCTTTAGTATAGATCAGACTGTATACCCTGTGGTGTCCCTTCCAAATCTGGGATTTGCTATAGGTCTTTTTGCCCCACCAGAACTCTGAAGCCCCCAAGGCAGGGACCACAAACCTTCCCACTCCTCATCCTCTGATTTAGTGGACAGAGCCCTAGACTTGGAGGTTTCAAATACTGCCTCAGACACTCAATCATGTGATCATGGGCAAATCAGTCAATCAACAAGCATTAATTAAGCACTTACTCTATGCCAGACACTGTGCTAAGTGGTGGGGATACAAATATAGGCAAAAAAAAAAAAGACAAAGACAATTCATTTAACCCTTCAGAGCCATCTGTAAGATGGGGATGATAAGATTCCTCTTACTTTGCCTCACAAGGTTGGCGTTAGATTGTTGGGCAAGTCCAAAGTGCTCTGTGGACCTTAGGGTGCTACAGAAATGAGTTACTAGCTGCCCCTACCTTTCTCAACGTCTGTACCCCATAAATATTTGATGAATAGATGCATGGGTGGGTAGAATGATGAGGGAAGTAAAGGAGTGGATGATAATAGCTAACATTTATACAGGGTTTTAGGGACAGCAAAGAAATTTATAAACAATATTTCAATTGATCCTCACAACAGCCGCAGGAGGCAGGTGCTATTATCATCCCCAATTGACCAATGAGGAAAACCAAGGCAGACAGAGGTTAAGTGACTTGCCCATGGTCACACAACTAGTAAGTTGTGGCTGGATTTGAATTCAGATCTTCCTGACTCCAGGTCGAGCACTCTATCTGGTGCACCACCTAGCTGGAAAACCCTTCCCACCACCACTTTGCTGGGGACCTGAAGATGGGGTGGAGGGGGGTGGGGAATTGTCAAGGATGGAGTTTTTTTTTCTCTCAGTGTAAGATCTTGACGGACAGTTTTTTTCTCCTATAAATAGATTGTCGATGGTGAATCTTGTGTGTTGGGTATTATAACCTAGCGAGGTGATGTATCTAAGTGTAATCCATCCCAGTGAGCACCCTCTGGTGTTGTCTACAGGTAAGGGTGGTGTTCTCTGGGCAAGGCAAAAGAACTTGACTAGATTTCTAAGGTCCCTTCCAACTCCCACACAATGGCTTCAGAGGAGAACACTGTGTAGTTAGCAGCATTCTCACCCTGACCCTCCGGTCGTCTTCCTTTTTTTTTTAATCTGTCCAGAACAGGTTGATCATGGGCCTACTTGTACATTCTCTAGCCCACCCTACTCTGCCTCATGGCCAGGTCAATGAATTGTGAATCCAGCCTCTTCCCTCCTGTTTCCACTTCCCTGTAACTTTTTCCCATTGCTCTTATTTCTGCCCCTCAAGTCAAGCAGAAATCTAAGGCCTTTTTGATGTGACCTTTTCCTTACAGCCTCCCTCCTTGCCCCCACCCTGACATCCAAGAATCCTTCAGCTCTTCCTTTCTATCCTGACTTTTCCAATGTCTCTGTCCAAAATTGAGCCTTCTCATTCCCCACCTTCCTGGATCCAGAGAGGTTCATCTCTAAGCCTCAACTAGTTGCAATTGGGGTCTGAAGAAAGTGAGTGGGCAGCAGGTGAGGACTGCAGTGGCATGGAGGGGAGAGCTGCGTCTCTACTTCCCTGGCCCCGGAGGTCACTGTGAAAGCATGGAAGTGCCTACTCAGTGCTAAAGGAGTACTGGAAACTGACTGGGTTGTGATGAAAAGATCGTCCTTTCCTCTTTATTTGTGAGTCATCACAGGATAGTCAGCTCCACTTTCCAGAAAGAGAAGTTATGGATTTCACATCCCCCTGACTCAATCTAACTTAGGGAAGTAGGTATAAGTTCAGCAAGAAGGTAAGACAAGATCTCTGGGGTGGGATTCAAATGACTTTGTTTCTAGCTCCAGAACTGCTCCCAAACCAGGGATATGCCTGATGAGCACTGAATCTACCTCATTGACTCCTGACCATTTCGAGAGACAGCTAGGAAGTTTCCTCTACCTGTGATGGGATTCCTCAGAAATCATTCAAAGAAATATTGTTCCATGGTATCATCCTAGATTTTAGTAGTCTATGTGTATCACCTACAGTGGTGGTAGGGAAGAAGGTCAGGGAAAATAGAGAAGTGCATAGACTACCAGACTTTGGACAAGATAGTTAAAGTGGAGCAGTACACTGTACCAAGAGTTTCAGATCCCCAGTCTGTTTGCTAGACAGCCAGTGGTTCTCAGTGTTGGATTTACACAGTGGATACCATAAAAGTCCTATTTCAGGGGAAAACAAAGAGAACAGAGCTTTTATCTACCGAGCTGGATTTGACCAGTTTTGCTATAGGCTCCCAGGCATCTAAGGAACACTTGCCACTTCATAACCACCGATGGAAAAAGTTGTTGGAGACGTGAACTGCATGGAAGTGTTGGTGTATCTGATAACCTCAGTGTCTTTGGAAAGACACTGAAAGAGTATGAAGAGAGGTAGATGAAAGCATTGGATTGGATGATGGAGGCTGGTCTGAAACAATTGGTTGCCAAGTGCCCATTTCTATAGCACCTCTGTTAAGTGTGGGGTTCATATAGTATAGCAGCCAAGAGTGAACAGTGCCTCAGAGAAGATAGAAGTTTTCCTCAATTGGCCATGTCTTTTCAAAGACTTGGTGACTATTGTAAAAAAAAAAAAAATAAAGCACTCTGCTACAATTGCTAATCCACATAGTGATTGCACTTCAGGGATGTACTAGAAAGTCAATTTGCTCCAATTTCTGGGATTCAATCCCTTCTTAACTCATGCGATAATTCAACAAGGTTTCCTCAGCCTATCTGAACATGATTCTTGCTCAATGTTATTCTGGTTCAGAAAGTCTCTTAACTTTCAATCTAAGCTCTATACATGATTGATTGATTGATTGAGTCACATTCTCAATTAAGTTATCATAGATAAAATGGGGTGGGATAGTTTCAGTTCCATGCTTCCATAAGGTTTGACCAGCACCAAGTTGAATGCTACTTGCCAGAGATGAGAAGCCGTGCTAGCCAGCTGTGAATTCAACATCCAGTATCATCCAAGGAAAACGAATGTGAGTGTAGATGCTCTGATCCAGAAGTCATATGATACAGGTGGCCCAAACACTTCAAATAATGATTGAACGAATAAAAAAATGTAAACTAGTTACAGTTAAGTCCTTAATCTGATGAACCCATGGCAATACCATGAGAAGGGGTGAAGGCTATCTGTATACCTAAGGACTTTCAACATAGTCAGATGGAAGTAAAATTTAGAGTTTGAGACTTCCACTAGACTGCATGTCAGCAACATGTGAGAACCCTGTTTCATTGAACTAATCGTCTCTTCCTCGGTTATCCTTACATGACTGAAGGGAGAGTAAATGGATGATGAAGGTCTTTCAAAGCAGATAAAAATCAAGAAACAAGGAAGGAAACCTAAAGAACTCAAGTCCCATTTTCTAGAAAACATCTTTTTTTTATTAATTTATTTTTATTTATCAATAATCACTTCCATATGCTTTTGAGTTTAAAATTTTTCTCCCTACCACCCTCCCCAAGACAGCACACAATCTGATACAGGCTATACATTTACATTCATACTAAACATATTTTCACATTAGTGATGTTGTAAGCAAAAATTAAAACCAATAGGAGGAATCATCAGAAAGAGGAAACAAAACTCAACAGAAGAGAAAAAAAAAATAGCGGTTCAACTTCCACAGTTCTTTCTTTGGATGTGGACAGCATTTTCCATCACAAGGCCTCTGGAGATGTCTTAGATCCTTGTATTGCTGGGAACGGATAAGTTTATCAATATTAGTCATCACACAACGTGGCTGTTATTGTGTACAACATTCTCTTGGTTCTGCTCACTTCACTCAGCATCAGACCATACAAGTTTTTCCAGGTTTTTCTGAAGTCAGCCTGTTCATCATTTCTTATAGCACAATAGTATTCCATCACATTCATATACCACAACTTGCTCAGCCATTCCCCAATTGATGGGCATCCCCTCAATTTCCAATTCTTTGCCACCACAAAAAGAGCTGCTATGAATATTTTTGTACATGTAGGTCCTTTTCCCGTTTGTGTGATCTCTTTGGGATACAGCCCTAG